AAAATGGAGAAATTTATTATTAGCATTGTGCAGATCTTCTATTTACATTTTAATTTTATTTGTTACGCGAATCCATTAGTCACAAAGTGAGGCATTTGTGTTATAAAGTCAGCCGTGAAGTATTGTGTTATTACTATTAGTAATTGTAGTTAATGCAAAATATTAATTAATCAAAGCCGAACAGAAGTTTAACAGCTTTTTATATACTCATACTTTATAAGGAAATGGATGTTTTTGTCTAAACAGTATTAGTAAAATGTCTAAAAAGCTTACAAAACTTTTAATTTATTAGTTATTTTAGTATTTATCCCCAATGACTCTTTTTGTGTTTTTATTGTAATTCTGTGTCAATTTCTTATATTCATTACACTCATAAAAAATTATATCAATTAATTCAGTTTAGCTAATTTTTTTTAAGAAACCAAAGTAAGCAAACAGTACATTAGAAGAGATAGGAAACATCAAAACATAAACAATATTGTTTTAATAAAAAGGTTGAATAAATTAAAGCGAATTGACAAATTCTAACGCGACCGCCCCTCGCCAGGGAATGAGATAATTTTTTAAACTCGTGTAACGAGAAGTGCGACACGCACTTGCACTGCCGACCCTGACTATATCATTTATAGTCCTTTTGTCGCCGAAATTATATTTACAGAAGTGAGCAGACAATTTCACGCTCTCTTCCCTGCACCCTCCCACCCTGGACTCTAATCAGCGGCAGTAAGACATAACATGGACATGCATGAAACTCGTTACTCTAAAGTTATTGGAGATCACTTAAAATAATTATTTAATTTTTATGGTTAACCATTTTTATATTATTAAACACGCGAAAATACAAAAGACAACCTATATAACTTAACAAATGAAGTTGACAAAAGACAAATTATAAAACTTTATTACCAGCCTTAAAAATACTTTCACTAACAAAATACGGACTGCACTGCGATTACTCTTGACCTCAATGTGGTCAAGATTTTATTGTATTTTATTATGATAATTATTTTTTGTATTGCATTGCATAAAATCTTACAGTCACAAAATTATACTTGATAAAGGTAAAATGTTTAATTTTGGGAGAGACCCTTATTTTGTAGTAATAATTAAACATTTATCAAAAAATTACGTGGGAAGGTCCATATTAATGTATCAATTTACCCTCGATCAATAAAAGGGTGAGTTCACAGATGAGCGTGAAAGATTGTCCACATGTTGTGCCGCCGACCGGGCGAGCTGCAATGGCCAGTCGCCTTATCACACGATACATCGGATTAATAATCCTCACTTGTCCTTACTACTATTTCGTCTCATACGTCAGTCTATTTCACGCGTCTTAATTTTATCGCTTATCAACGAATCTTCTCATCTACAAATTGACTTAATGAAAACCTCAATACATAAAACACGAATATAGTTAATGTTTTCTTTTCAATTCTATATTTTTATCTTAAAGATCTAATAATTTTGGGGGACTTGATAAAAGTTATAACATTTTTGCTATGTAATTTTTTTTTAATTTAAAATTATTCTCGTTACAATATCCAATATTGTAATGCAAGTCAGTTTAACATAAGTAAGCAGAGATGTATTGTTCGATTAAGATTTATTATGTCCATTGAGACGTGGCACGGTGCGTCGCGTGGCCTTTTCCTGAATTTGACAGGCAAATAAATTGCAAGATCAAAGCTCGATACTTAGGAAAACATCGCAAGGAAAGGGGCGGATCGTTACACTACGTCATGTACACCGACATGATAGTACGGAAACGGAAGTGACGACAGTCGGCGAGAGGAAGCGACGCATGGCGCCGGACGTGCCCACTTCCGCGCCCGCTGACTTCACTTATCCCAGCGGGGTGTGCTAAAATTACCCTCCACTGTCAATATTGCCTTATATCATTTTATATCATGTCTATTGAGGAAATAAAACAACCAATTGAGAATCTATTAGATGTTAATCTTAAAAAATGCTGTTAACGATTTCGATAATAATATCATCGGAAATAAGTTGATGTTATCCGATTTATCGCGTAATCGGTAAGCCGAATGCTCGGTTACATTGCGTGCTACAAATTAATTTGTTTTTATTATTGTTTTCGATTATTATATCCTTATATCTTCCATCAACAAATTGCCTTAACTCATAAATAATCTTATTGTACAATTATACTAATTACAACAAATTTAATATGAAAGTTTTTTCTTTTGCTTCATAGAGACTTAAAGAATGACGAAATGTAAGCAAGGTATTGATTGGGATAACAATATAAACATTTAAGAAAGTGATGTAATACAGAAAACGATCGAAGCGATCCCGAGACAAGATTTTTATATTCTTGGTTAGATTATACATGCTTTTCAGCAAAGCATAGTAACCGTTAGTTATATTACCTTCGTATAACTGTATTATTTATTCAATGAGTACTTTTACATAAATTCTTTAAATCAACTTCTGCATAAGTCATTCCGTTATAATGATTAAATCCTTATAAGTGCAAATATTCCATACTTAAGGTTTATATCACATATATGAAATAACGAAATACCAATGTGGGTCACAAGGAGCGTTCGCTGTATACGAAACACGTTTGACCATAATCCATGTTATTCTATCAAATATTTCAAATATACAAGAAATTATTATTTTAATAACCTACTTACATTACTGGTTTTAATATGGTTATTACTCGCAGTAGTTTGTTAAAACTTCCTTGATAAATCTTTGATGAAGGTGCATTATCCTAATAAAGAAAATTACATTTGAATCTATGAGTTTCTACTCGCGTTCGTAGTTTAGCAATCACACAATTTAGAAAATAATACAACCAACTGCGTATGTATTTAGAATAATTTACATATCAAGAAGATTGCGTCGATCAGTGCACGATTGAAGAAACACAATGATTGTGAATTGTGCAAGAGTGCAATGAGCAGAACTGACGCGCGAGGGACGTGTGACGCGACCTGTCCGGCTGACATGGTCGCCGCCGGCCTTCGCCATTAGACAATGCTTTATAATCTGTGTCTTCTCTTTAATTAGATCTGGTCTATTATTGTGTTATAGTCTTTTCCTTAGAAAAATAATATTGATCCAATTAAAAAAATATTAGCAAAAAGTTAGTGGCAGAAAACAAAAGAAAAAATAAACCAGCAAACTGAGGAAACGTTGAGAAAACATATAAACTTACTAATATTGTAAATGCGAAATTTAAATGGATAGATGTTTTGGTTTTTGTAGCCTAAACGGCTAAACGGATCTGTATGAAATTTGGCATAGACATAGAGGATAATCTGGAAGAACACAGGCTATTCACTTTTGTTTTTTTTTTTAATTCCATGCGGACGGAGTCGCAGGCGAAAGCTAGTTTATACTAATGTTGAATTCGTCCTTAAAGTGTATCAACAAATACTTTACTTCTTTTTATAAGATCTCTAAGAATTCTTTTTTTTTTTTCGTGATGTGTCGAAATTTTACTAGTGATATCTATCAATTAAAGTATCACTTATTTCCAATACAACGACAAATAACTAAATAATGAATGTACCATAGTGTTTTCCGATCGTAGAACATAAGGCGTCAGGCGCGCGCTTCACGACTTCGATAGATAAAATTAAAGGAAACGTTATACCGGCCACTATCATTATTGTTTTATTTGCTAAATTGCTGCGCGCTAATGCCGGGGTCCACTATTCACACGGCCCGCTATTGGCGTGTATTTAACGACGCTCCTCAGAATGACGAGCGCAACGTCTAATGCACGTAATTGTTTACTCCGTCTGATTGACATCAATGCACTTTAGTTGTTTATAGCAAAGAATGATTACACAATATTATCACATTAATCTGTTAAATAAAGAGGTTAGGTTTAAATAGATTTTAAATCGCTCCTAGGTGGTCAACTTATTTTTAAAATTTTCTCTCTTAATTACAAGATAAACAAAAATTAGTAACAAAAAAGTAGTCGTGGTGAAATTATTTTAAAATCTAAGAAAGGTAAAGATGTGATAGTATCGAATTAGCTTTTATTCGATACGTTAAGGTATTTAAATTGCTTTCAAAGCAAGGTTTCCTTAAGCAGTTCCTGAATATTTTATATTGAACTCAACGCGAGTCACGACGGTTAATTGTACTTATACAATATTCGTGGCGAGTAACTAACATCTTAGACAAGTGTAATTGCTATATTACGTATAAAACTAAACTGTAATAATTAATACACTTAATTAAGGACATCTTTTACACTAATACAGGTAAAACTGTAAGTAACCACTACAAACAAAACGTATTTATTTTAAACCAATTGGTATTGAAATAACAATGGTTGAGCAAAAGATTTATGTTTTAATCACAGGTATTAGCTATGCATTTGTACAAAACATGCTATGATGAGGCCTTTCATAAATTTTAAACTTTTCATTTCGGTTCGAATTAAAACATTAAATAAAGATCGAAAAGTGGAAATGATTCCAGGTAAAATGGTCCGGCAACGTCTAGTTAATGAAGCGTATTTCCAACTCCCGCGGAATCCCTCCCGCGCAAGAAATAAAACTCGAAAGGGAATCCCTATTTCAAAACGCATTTCACATACAAATACCTAATTTCGGGGTAAAGTACGAACATTATACAGGCGGGCTCGCATTTAAATTATTCCAGCGGATCGTTTATAGGCCATAACCGAATTTGGGAATTAGCTATAAAACAACATTAGATACGGGCAGGCGCGGGCGTTTTGCAATTTGAATGTTATACCCGTTTCAAAACTCATTGGGTTTCTAGTCGCGTGCTGCGATCAGCTATCTGCTATCTGCTATCCATCCATACCGACATCATCACCCGCGAACACCGTTGCGGCGCCATCTTACAGCGCCATCTGGAATTTTCCTAGGGGGCTTAAATGAGAATAACGAATATAACCGAAGTATAGAATTTAATATGCAAGAACCATTTTTATTAGAAAAAGATGACAAGTGACATATATTTCTTCTAACACGGGTGACGTCACGCATGTCAGTGGCGGCGGACTACTAAGAACAACATTACGTTTAAAAAAATATTTAACAAGTGATTTGCATCGAAACTTTAATCTCAGGGTGAAGCACAGTGTGTTTTCGACAAGTGATATTGTTATCTAATCATAATTCGTCTGATTTTATAACAAAAGTGCTCATAATAAGTGAGAAAAAGTTTTTTAGTGTTACCCTGCAACTTTGGTACATTTTTAGTTTCGGTATGAGTGAATTAAAACTGTAGTGGTTTCGTACTATTAATTTCTTAAACTACTACTACTAGTGGACTAAAATAAAACTGTTTGTGTAAATTTTTAACGCATATCTTTTGTATATTCAGCTTTTTCTTTTAATGAAAGTAACGCCATCTATTATCTGCAATGCCGAAGTGCCGGGCGTGTGGGAAATATACCGCGAATGCTGACTGTGTCCGTTGTTCAAAATGTTCAAATGTATACCACCGCGGCTGCAGCACCGTGCCTGCTGGCCCTATCCCTGCAGGGTTTGCGTGTCAGGGCTGTAAGCCTGCTGACAACTGTTCTTCTGAGAGCTCGAGCCCCGGTGAGGAAATAAGGGGGCCAGGAAAGGTCGAGGCGGAATGCACTCGCATGCTTTGCCAACTTATCCAGGAGGTCAAGGGGCTGCGCACCGACCTCAAGGAAGCAAGAATTGAAATACAGCAATTTAAGGCAGATCTGCAGTCGTGTTGCAATCGAATTGCTTCTGTCGAGCAAAAAGTTCTTGAAGTTGAGGAAAAAGTCATGGCAAAATCTGGCGACAACGAGCACCTTGAGAATACGATAGCTGATCTGAAAGTACAATTGAACGAACGGGATCAGGAGCTACTGTTGAATGACGTTGAAATAGCAGGCATACCAGAGCAGAGAAATGAAAACGTCCTCCATCTCGCCAGCCTCGTAGCCGTAAAGTTGGGGCTCACGCTTGAGGAGCGCGACATCGTTCACGCCGAGCGGCGGGGCGCCGTACGGCGCAACCGTGTCGACGGGGAGGGTGCGCCGCAGCGGCCGCGGCCACTGGTCGTGCGGTTGGCGCGTCGCGCTCAGCGCGACGCCTTGCTGCGCTCAGCGCGCGTACGACGCGGCCTATCTACGGCTGACATGAACCTGACCGGGGAGCCCAGGAAAGTCTATGTCAACGAGCGCCTCACTCAATACAATCGACAGCTGTTCGGTAAGGCACGGGAAGCCGCGTCCCGCGTACATTGGAAGTACGTGTGGACAAGAGGCGGACAGATATTTACTAGGAAGGATGATGGTAAGTCTGTAGAACGGATTCGTAATGAAGGAGACATAAATAAAATTTTTGCTTAATAGTTAGTTTGGTCTCACGCAACGATATAATACATTATAGTAATATACTTTGTATACATTTTTTGTTATCTCTCATTCATTACAAATATTATAACTTAATATTGCAATACTTAGTCTATATAAGACTCGTGAAATATTTATTATGTCCAAAAAACCATTTAAATTATCTTTCCACTTACCATTTATTAATATTGAATAGCATGTTTGCCGCAGATTTAATCATAATTGCTTTTTGTTTATTGTTTAGTATACTTTTTGTTATACGTTTATCGTTTGTTGTCGCTTTTTATTATACGGTATACGCTTGTGTAATATCTCAATATTTTTATTCTGTTTGGATAATTATTACATACTTTCTTATTTATTTTGTGCAGTGTAATATCTTTCTTATATTACATAGTAACTATATATGTATATTATTGATCAACCTAAATGGCGACAAACATTGCATACTTATCGATTGGTCGACCTTTGTTTACATTTATGACAATATAATTCTGTCCCTTAAGTTAATAACGTGTTATATTTTTTATTGCTATTTTATAACGGTGAAATATTATTTTAGTTATCACATAATGCTATCAAATAATGTGTGTGTAAACGATTTGCTTAAAGCCATACTTCATTTGTTTTTAATTTTTAGTGCTTATGTAGCTTTTATGTTTGTAGTTTGGAATTTGTGTTGCGTTTGTTTGTGTTTTTGTTGCAATGCTGTCTATAGGGATTTTTGCTGTTTTGTACCTGGTTGTTGGAATTATTATTTATGTAAATATGTTTGTTACCCTAAAATTACATTATGCCATACTTTTTTAATTTATAATTTGTTTCTAACGTTATCAAAATCTATTTTAATTGCATATTTATTGATGTTTTCATTTTACATTTTTTGTATTAAATCGATATTGAGTATATGTATCGACCGGCCTTAAGTCATTTTTGAAGATCGGTTTTCTCAACGTCGGTTCATTGAACACCTACTGTGATGACTTTATCGCACTTGTTGAGCGCCATGCGATGGATGTGATGGCGGTGGGCGAGACGTGGCTACGTGCGGGCGAGGAGGGGAGCGCCCCGCGGCCCGCTGGCTACCGGCTGCTGCACGCGCCGCGCCCGCGCACCGTGCGCGGCGGCCGGGGCGGGGGGGTTGGCTTTTACTTAAAGCGCGGTATCAATGCCCGTGTGTTTGCTCACCCAGTCGAACCATCGCTAATTTTCGTCGAGCAAATGTGGTTAACGCTTAAAGTAGACAATAAGATGCTTGCCATAGGCACAGCATACCGCCCGCCGTGGCTTGATGTCGACTCATTTTTTGACGCGGTCACGGGTTCCATAAACTCTTTATCCTTTTGTGATAATATTATCTTGCTCGGAGATTTTAACATCGACATGTTGCGTTCTAACGATATAAAAGTTAATAAGTTTAACACATTTCTAACTTGCTTAAACCTTGTGCAATTAGTCACGTCCCCTACTCATTTTACTGACCACAGCCAAACCTTAATAGATGTTGTTTGCACTGATTTGCGAACACGACATATTGAGGTCGAACCGGTTGCACCTCTGAGCAATCATGCATTGTTAACTTTTGAAATTCAAAGTGAAAGACATAAATTATCTGCAAAAAAAATTAAATATAGACCACTTAGAGACATACCCTTAGACATTTTTATTTTATCTTTAGAATCAATTAATTGGAACGAAATAATTTCTACACAAGACATAGATGATAAAGTACACCTTTTTAATTCATA